CCCCAAAACCCCAAAACCCCAAAACCCCAAAACCCCTATTTTCATTAAAATAATAGAAATTTAAATAATATAGCAAGTAATGGGTCAGGACTGAAGCACCTGAAACTGTAATAAGGAAGAGAAAGAGATTGAAATAGTCACTAATGATTCGAAGACTAATAGGCACTCTATTAAGCCCAGTACTCTAGTAAGTAGACTTGGTTGGGGACCGGTGTGGGTGATAGCATAGACTGTTAAGGATCGTATTTCGTTTGAAAATAGGAGGGGAATTTAAGAGGACTTCTGTTAAGATAATAGAGTTGGTTTTTGAGTAGACATTTTGAGTTAGATGAAGGTATATTTGATACTGTGAAAGAGGATCCAACTTGACCTACAATAGCTTCCACTAAATATGATGCTTCAGGATCTTCTTAGCCATATTTTTATGTTTATTCATTAGAAGGCAAGATCCAAGAGTTTTAAAAGAAAGCATTGTAATCAAAAATTTTCTATCGGATTAAACATCAAAATAAATTGATCATTTGAAAGAATCTAGTAATACCTCAATACTAATACAAGTATCATCAAAATCTGCTCTCTTTCATAACTAAAAATACATATCACTCTATATCCTAACCTCCAAATCTAGGCACTCGGAAAAGCCAATGAAAACGACCCCCAAAAATCCGATCCAACCCCTGTAGAAGAAACCGTCGATAAGCCCGAAGTCAACGATGAAGACTCCAGTGACGGAGAACTTGAGTACAAGAGCGACCACAGGTTCCCGAATGGAGCTATTTATAAAGGCGGCTGGAAGAATGGGCAGAGGCATGGAGAGGGAACCCAGATTTGGCCTGACGGTGCGAGGTATGAAGGACAGTGGAAGAAGAACAAAGCGCATGGGAAGGGGAAGTTCTGGCATGTTGATGGGGATATCTTTGAAGGAGAGTGGAAAGATGATAAAGCTAATGGGAAAGGGACTTATACGCATATGAATGGAGCGAAGTATGAGGGAGAGTGGAGAGATGACCTACAGCATGGATGGGGTATTGAGACCTGGGCTGATGGGTCTAAGTATGAGGGAAATTATAAGCAAGGGAAATAAACATGGTCATGGAAGCTATATTTGGAGTGATGGATCGAAATATGTGGGAGAATGGAATGAAAATAAGATCAATGGTGAAGGAACGTATACCTGGCTCGATGGAAGAAAATATGAGGGATATTGGAAAGATAATAATATGCATGGGTATGGAGTATATACATGGAGAGATGGAAGAAAATACGAAGGAGAATATGTAATGGACAAAAAGCATGGCTATGGAGTTTATATATGGGCTGATGGCAGAAGGTATGAAGGAAAATGGGCTAATGGAAAGCAACATGGGGAAGGAAAGTACATCCTCCCAGATGGAACAATTAAAGTTGGCATATGGCAAGAAGGAAAGAGAATTAGGTGGATCAGTCAAATTAATCCTGATGGAAGACAGGAAGATACGTCAAGAGGACAACCAGAGCATAATGAAAAAGTGTTGAAGAACCTTTAAATTCATAAAGTGAATTAAATTATTTTCTAAATCTACAAAATAATCCTCATTCGGGGTTTTGGGGTTTTGGGGTTTTGGGGTTTTGGGGTTTTGGGG